ATACAAATGGCTAACCAACTCAGGTCGGGAAGGTCCCCTGGAGAATGGAAATGGCAACCCACTCCAGTATTTTCGCCTGGGAAATCCCATGACAGAGGAGCCTAGCAGGCTACAGTCCATGGAGTCGCAGAGAGTAAGACACGACTGACTTACACTAACACTTCACTTTGCACTTTCAATTGACTCGGGAGAAAGACATCTTTATCTTCAGCAGGTAATTGAAAATAGGGACCAACTCTAAATTGTCAGGTTTTTAAAAAAATACCAAGAATCTGTACCAATGAAAGTGGTTAAAATGGCACATTTTATGATATATATATTTGACGCAATTTAAAAAAAAAATTGATAATGTAATATTTCCAGAAACCATTGAATCGTGCATTATAAATATGTGAACTGTCTGATGTGTAAATTATGTTTTGATAAACCTGTTTTTTTAATTCAGTATTATGCTATGGTCTCAACCTTTCAATTATGTTTAATTTTTAAAAATACACACATATGTATGTTTATATTTTACACATGTTTGTATATGTATAGTTACTTTGATGGATTTTTTTTTTTTGCTCTCTTTTCTGAGTTTTGTTCTCTCCAAAATCTCTACCACTTAAAAAGTTTGTAATTTAAAAATTGCTTTTATGAAATCTACAGATAACAAATGCTGAGGAGGGTGTGGAGAAAAGGGAGCCCTCCTACACAGTTGGTGGGAATACAAATTGGTTCAGCCACTATGGAGAACAGTATGGAGGTTCCTCAGTAAACTAAAAATAGAACTACCATATGATCCAGCAATCCTACTCCTGGGTACGTATCCAGACAAAACTATAATTTGAAAAGACACTTGCACCCCATGTTCATAGCCGCACTAGTTACAAAAGCCAAGACAAGGAAACAACCTAAACGTTCATCGTTCATCGAAAGAGGAATGGATAAAGAAAATGTGGTACATGTGTACAACAGAATATCACTCAGTCATAAAAAATGATAGAATGCCATTTGCAGCAACATCGTTGGACCTCGAGATTGTCATACTAGAGAATTCTCTGGCAGTTCAGTGCCTGGGACTCCTCGGTTTCACGACCGAGGACATGGGCTCAATCCCTGGTCAGAGAATCGAGATCCCAGAAGTTGTGCAGTGCAGCCAAAAAAAAAAGAGATTATCATGCCGAGTGAAGTAAGTCAGAGAGAGACAAATACCATATGACATCATTTCCATGAATTTATCTACAAAACAGAAACAGACTCATAGGTATAGAGGAATAAATTTGTGGTTGCGAAGGCGGGAGGGATGGGGAGAGAAGGATTGGGAGATTGAGGTTAGCAGATGCAAATTATTATATATAGAATTGATAAACAAAATCCTACTTTATAGCACAGGGAACTATATTTAATATCCTTTGATAAACTATAAAGGAAAAGAATATTGAAAAGATGGACATCCCTGGTGGTACAGTGGATGGAAATCTGCCTGCCAATGCAGGAGACATGAGTTTGATTGCTGGCCCAGAAAAATCCCCCATGCTGCAGAGCAACTAAGTCCGTGCATCACAACTATTGAGCCTGTGCTCTGGACCCTTCGAGCCATAACTGCTGAAGCCCATGCGTCCTAGAGCCCATGATCTGCAACAAGAGAAGCCACGGCAATGAGAAGCTGGTGCACTGAAATTAGAAAGTAGCTCCCATTCACTGAAACTAGAGAAAGCCTGCATGTAGCAACGAAGACCCAGCACAGCCAAACATAAATAAACAAATAAAAAAATTTTTTAAGAATATAAAAAAGAATGTGTATATATATGTATACAGTGAAAATGAAAGCGTTAGTTGCTCAGTTGTGTCCAACTCTTTGAGACCCCATGGACTGTAGCCTGCCAGACTCCTCTGTCCTTGGGATTCTACAGAATACTGGAGAGGGTTGCCATTTCCTTCCCCAGGGGATCTTCCTGACACAGGGATCAAACCTGGGTCTCCTCCATTGCAGGCAGATTCTTTACTGTCTGAGCCACCAGGGAAGCCTCTTATGTGTATAAATGAACCACTTTACTGTACAGCAGAAATTAACACATTGTAAATCAAATATACTTCAATTTATTTTATTTAAAAAAATGTTTTTAAGTGCTTTTATCGACTGTCACTATGTGTGATGTGTTGGTCTTCCTCCCCAAAAGCCATCACCACAGTCTGACCATGTGAAACACATCAGCAAATCCCAGTAGAGAGGCATCCACAGAATTGACCCAGCCGTCTCACGACTGCCCAGGGCAGCAAACAAGGCATGCGAGAAACCATTACAGCCCAGAGGGACCCCAGAGATGGGAGACCTGGCTGTCACGGGGGGAACCTGAGGGACCCTGGGGAAGAGAGGACATCAGGGAACTACATGTGGGTGTTGGCGAGCCCTGACTCAGCAGTTAGTGCTGGCCTGTTGCTTGTGACCAACACATCGGATCAAGGTGAGCTGCTGTCTATCAGTGGGGGCACTGGGGACAGGCATACGGCAGCCACGTGCTGTCTTTGCACCCTTTCTGTGACTCTAAGATCCTCCAAAAAAGTGGAGTGTATTAAAAATAGTAAGAAGAGTAATCAAATGTTCAGAAAATGCTTTATAAGCACAGTGTTCTTTGTCCTGTGAAACAGTCACCCAGGTTGGTCCCGGGGGTGGCCAAGGAATCATTCTCTGGGGTTCAGTGGCTAAAGTAGGTGCAGTAGGCTAAAGCCTACGCTATGTCTGTCCCCTAGAATAGGGATCCCCAACTTTTGGCACCACCGATTCAATTAACATGTGTTTGAGTAAACTCTAGGCGATAGTGAAGGATAGGGAAGCCTGTCATGCTGCAGTCCATGGGGTCGCAGAGAGTCGGACACGACTGAAGGACTGAACCAGAACATCTTCTGGGATCCGATGCCTGATGATCTGAGCTGGAGCTCATGTAATAATGATAGAAATAAAGTCCACAATAAATGTCACGTGCTTGAATCATTCCGAAACAATCCTCTCACCTCTGCCCCGGTCTGTGGAAAAAACTGTCTTCTATGAAACCCATCCTTGGTGCCAAACAGACTGGGGACCCCTGCCCTACAGCCACCAGTACTCCTTCCCTGACCAAAACCCTCCTGACTTGGGGTGGAGGTCGGGGCCCAGACCTGTGCTGGGAATCGGGGGTCCCTTTGTAACCGCCAGCATCCACATGCCCCCATTCCCACCCCAGGAGGCACACGGCAGCGGGGTGCGGGCTCTATCTCCCCCACAGCCCTGATGCAATTCTGACACCATTTACATTTTCAGCTCCAGGTGAACGATGGGTGCCCCCCCTCATGGTTTGGAAGCAGATCTCTGTGATGCTGTTTGTGCACCTGGGAAGCTCCTGGGAGCCAGGAAATGCAGATCTACAGACACAGAGAAAGGGTTCCTGGTTGTCAGGGGCGGGGGGAAGGGGTGGGGGGCTGACTGCTGATGGGACAGGGCTTCCTTTGGGGTGATGGAAGGTTCTGGGATTAGGTAGAGGTGATGGTTGCACAAACTTATGAAGGTACTAAACACAATTGTTCACTTTAAAACGGTTACTTTCATTTTATGCAAATTTCACATCAATGGGAAAAAAAAAAGAACTTCAGGGGACCACTTCAGGGGGGAATTTGTCCCATAAGCCCAGGCATCCGACTGGGCCCACTTTGCCGGTTGGAGGACATTCTCCACAGGTGGGGCTGTGACACCCACCCAGGGCTTCACAGAGATGGGGACTCCCGGCCCTGCTCCCCTGAGGGGAACAGCCACCACCTCTCAGTTGAGAAATTGACCGTTTGCCAGTTTCTCCCCTCCTCCCCCAACCCACAACCCCAGTTCCGTGAAACAGGCACCCTGAGGAAGATGGTGCTGCCTGGCCATGGGGGCTCCCCGGGTACCTAACACATATCTCAGAGCCCCGGCCCTGGCAGACGCACCAGAGTGAGGACAACCCACCGACCCGCAGGCCATCAGCCACTGGGTATGAATCAGTGATTGTCGCTGGGGCGCGGCCCCCAGGCATCACCACAGCCACTGCGGTTTGCTCTGATTATACATTCACCGTGGGAGAAGAAGCGCCAGGCTGGCCTCGTGTTTTATTCATGGAACCCGACTCTGTGTAACCATTACAGGTTTTTAGCAGGGAGGCCAGGACCACCGATACCAGGAGCTGTGATCCCTATGCCATGGCCACTCTAGAGGTTAGGGGAGGACAGCAGAGGCACCTCCAGGGCAAAATGCCCACCAAGGGTTGTGCCCCGAGAACCAGAGGCTCTGGTCAGAAATGTGCCAATCCCAGGGACTTTCGGGACTGGCTGATGGGGGGCAGCGGGCTTCTTATTTCATGAAAAAGGAGAAGCTTAGTTTATCGCTGCCTGTGTCTTTGGTCTCCAGCCATTGTGGAAGTTGGGTCTGTGCTCATTGCCTTTCAGCACCGTTCTGTAATTCTGCACCAGGCAGCTCCGAGATGTTGGCCTGGGCTGGGCTGGGGGCTCCAGAGCCCCGCTCCCACCTGCTAACCCGAAGGAGCCCCCGATCTGTAGGAGTCAGATAATCACCCGTGTTTCCATTCCCCACCCTCAACCCAAGTCCCCCTGGCTTCCAGCCCCTCCTAGCTAGTCACTGCCCTCACCTTCCCCTAGCTGGCCTCGGAGGGAGACCCCGTGTCCCCACGGGAAGCACACTATTCCCAGATCAGGACTCTGCTGGGCAGGGATGTTTCAGTACCCACAGAGCCAGCCACCCCACCCCCACTCCTCCCCCAAGTACCCCATGGCAACAGTCCGACCGTGACCGCTACGGACCGAGAGCTGTCACCCGACCTGTCCAGAGGGTGGAAGGGAAGGTGTCCCTATTGTCTCCCCCAAGGGACGCACAGAAAGGGGACAAAGACAGTCGGCCTGGAAGGGCCCTTGGCCCCCGCTTTCCATGGTGGCCGCGGGGATGGCAGAAAACTCGGGTCGACAGCCCTCATTGTGCGCCCAGCGCCTCGCTGCACCACAAGCCTCGGCTTTCCACAGCCGTGTCCGTCTGATTTCTGGAGAACCGGACCGCGGGGGAGGGTTCAGGGGCCCATTGTGCCCCTACCTCCCCTCCTCGCCTGCCACAACCCCCTCCAGGATGCCTGGGGTCCCACTGAGCGTGGGCCCCGCACAGCATTGTGCCCGGGGTCGGGGCGCCGAGGCTTGGGTCTTGCCCCTGGTCATACGACAAGCCGAGCTGTGGCAGGTCCTTCCTGGCCCCCTCCAGACACCAGCCTGTTCTCCAGTCTGCATCAGATTTGGGGGGCTCTGCCTGGTGGCTGGGAGTGAATGTGCAGAGGGTTTTTAGGGAGAATTGAATATAATCTTCAGGAAATTTTCCAGAAGGGTAAAAAGAAAGAAGTATTCGGCCTGGAGCCAAATGGGGGGTAGGAATCTCAAACGAAGACACAGAAATTTCCTGCCTGAAGGAGTGGGCAGAGGACCGGGGTGAAGGTCCCCAGGTCCTGAGGACTGAGGCTTCCTGGGCAGGGGACCAGGTGGGCAGCCAACCTGAACACCCCAAGCTGTTCATCCTCTCCACTTTCAAAGGCAGGCCATCAGCCCCTGCTGGGTCCGGGGCCATCAAGAAAGGAGAGAATGTCCCGTCACCCCAAACCATACTGCTCAACACCCCCACACTCCCAGGCTGTATGAAAGAGCTCTGCCTGGCCAGAGAAAAAGAAACAAAGACTCTGGAGAGAAAAGCAGACCAGAGACAAGGCAGCAGGTGTCAGAAGATACAAGACCACTAAAAACACCTGGGGGGAGAAAGAGGCCGCGCATCACCTGAGATCCCACCCATGTTAGAGTAACCACCTACCTCTGGGGCTTTTTGAATCAGCCTCGCTTGCCCAGTCTCTCCTGTCCTCCATGGCCAGCGGGCGTGTGGACCTGAGCTGCCCTCCTGGAGGACGATCAGGGGACATCTGTTCAGCTCCCTGGAGGAGGGGGGCGAGGGGGCTGCCTCCTGGGAGAAGTCCCAGCAAGCATCAAACCACTGCCCGGATCAGAAGGAGGATGGTTGCAGCTGCCAAAACTTCTGTCCCAGCACCATCCTCATGAGAGAAGAGCCGTGGTAGCTCCGGAGACATTGTTGGGGGGTAAACAAGTTACCAATCAGCAGGCAAAATACCCCTAATCAGGAGAGGAAAAGTGGGTGAGCATATACACAGAGGCGCTCGGACACACACACGCACGCACGCACATGGATCTGGGAGGGGAGGGGCAGGGGGGTATATACTCCTTGGTGCCAGGGTGGGTCCTGGGTGAAGACCTTCGAGTGAGAGTTTGTGGCTTGATCTAGAACTATTTTCAGTGTTCTCCACGCTTTCTATGATGCCGGTGCCCCATTGTCATGGCCAGGAGGAGAGAGAGCCATAGGGAGACTCGGGGGTCACCGGCCCGCCAGGGAAAGGGCAGGCGTCGGGCGGCCAGTCTCGCACCCCAGCCCGGGACTGACACTAATTCCCTGTCGGAGCAGGGTTACTGCTGCCCTTGCATGACCCTCCTCAGGAAGCCGTGACAAGTGTTAAATCACACTGTCGCATCTGTGGGGACCACATGTAATGCGGCTCCCATTCATCCATTCGGGCACCAAGGACATGACACACACACGGAGGCTGGCCAGAACACAGGCGTGTCTTTTCAAAAAATACAAACTTGCTCTTTTTTTTTTTTTTTTTGGTATGGTAAAAAAAATATACCTCCTGTGGAAAAACTCTGTGAGCATTCAGAAAAGGGAGAAAGGAGATGTTCCCCTAGATTGCACGGACATCACCATCCTGGGAACACCCTGTCAGGGAGTCTGTGCTTTCACACAAATGGGATCATTTTTTTTTATGCTGTTTTATTTTTTTTTTTCTTGCTGTTTATTTGGAGATAATGACAGAATCACATGAAGAAGTGGAGACAGCACCGAGAGGCTCATCTACCCATCACCCAGCTTCCCTCTACGGTCAAAACCAGGCATCCGATACTAAGATGCTGCATAAGGCTGGGTGGATGCAGACTTCTTTGTATCCATTGTATATAGGTTGTATGAATTTTGGTTGTATCACTGTATTTCCCGTGCAGATTCCTGTAACTCCCGCCCCACCCATCCCCCAGCCCCATGTCGTTTCTCTGTCTCTTCTCATCTTGAGATTATTCTGTCTATGCAACTGTGCAGCTCAGAGCCCTCAGAGCTCCGCACAGCACCCGTGTAACACGCACCGTGTTGCCCATCCCTGTGGCTGGTTCCGACGTCGTGCATAGGAACATTCTGTGGTGCACACGTCCCAGCCAGTGTGGCCAGTCACCAACTGAGGGCATCTGGGTTGGTTCCCACTAGGAGGTTTTGAAAATAAGCTGCCCTGCACGTTCTTGCACAGGCTGTGAGCAAAACATGAATGTTCACTTCTCTGGGATGAACGCCAGGGATAAACGCGGTGATGGCTGGGGCACGTCCTAAGTGTTTTACATGCTGTTTGGCGAGTTTGACACCAGCATATCAAGGACAGCGTCCCTCACAGCCAGACTCACTTGTTTGTTTGTTTGTTTTTTCAGACTCACTTGTTTACTGTGGTTGCTGGGGATCCCACCACACAGAAGGGAGTGAATCCTTAGGATCCCTGGAGATGAACGTGCAGGTCACTGGCGGGGACACAGCCCTGGATACACGCTGCCCGCTGACTGCTGTGGCTTTCAGACAATGTTTTTCTAGAAGCAGAACCACTGAACCCAGGACCCAAGCTGGTGTTGATTTGAGGAGCCACATGGCCCCACCCCAACTGCCCTTAAACATTTTTTACATTGCCTTTTTTTTTTTTGGTAAATTGAGATATAATTGACATATAACATTGTGCTAATTGTGGGTATACAGAATGATTCTGTATATTAGAAATGTATATTTGTGTATATTAAGAAATGACCACCGTGATAGGTTCGCATCCTTTCACACCAAGCTACAAATTATTTTTTCTCCTGATGAGAACTTTAAAGATCACTGTTAGCAGTTTTCAAATATAGGCTGCACTGTTGATTATAGTCACCAAGCTGTAAGTTACCGATCTCATAACTGGAATAATGTATTTTCTGAACCCCTTCACCCAATTCCCCTGAACACCCCCTCTATCTACCACTCACTGGCTTCCTGCATCTGTGAGCTTGGTTTTTGTTTCAGATTCTACATTGGCACTGAGATCAAATAGTATTTGCCTTTCTCTGACTTATTTCACTGAGCATGCATTAAATCTTTAAAAATAGATGATTCAGACCATTGGTTAAAAAAATTGTTTTTTTTAACCAATATATATAATATATGAAGGATATATAGAGTGTAACCAATTTAAATCTCTATCAGTCATTCAGCCTTGTCCAAAAAAAACACAGAAAAAAATGAAAAGACATCTCTTTTCAGTGATTTCTTTGGCTGTTGAGCTGAACATCTCTCGCATGGAGAACTGCATTTTCACTGATTTTGCCCATTTTTTCTCCTGGGTTGCCAGTCTTTGTTGATTCGCAGCAGAGTTTTTTACATTAATGATATTAATTGTGTGTCCCAATGGTTACCCACATATAATTTGTTGTAAACTTTTCAATGATCTGATAGTTGAAGATTTTTTTCTTTTATTTTGGCCACACCGAGCATCATGTGGGATCTTAGTTCCCTGACCAGGTATGGAACCCAAGCCCCCTGTAGTAGAAACGTGGAGTCTTAACTACCCTGAACTGCCAGGGAAGTCCCTGAAGGGTTTTTTTTTTTTCCCCCCTTGATGGTTTCTGGCATTTAGAGCAAATTTTATTTATTTTTATTTATTTTTGTTTTAGTTCTACCACTTTATTTCTACCAACCCATCTCCCTCCACCCTTGTGCACACATGCTGAGTCATGTAACCCCATGGACTGCAGCCCACCAGGCTCCTCTGTCCATGGACTTTTCCAGGCAAGAATACTGGAGTGGGTTGCCATTTCCTTCTCCATAGAGCAAATTTTAAAAGGATTCCCTCATCTCAAAACTAAAAAGAAGCTTATCTGAAATCTCTTCTAGGACTTTATGGATCTACAGACAATCCAAGGATGTCTTTCCCAAGTGAACTGTCTATTGTGGAATAATTTGAGATTTTCAGAAAAGTTGTAAAGCCAGGCTGTTGGGTTCCTGACACCCAGCTTCCCATGGGAAACTCTGACAGGAGGGGGGAATTCCCTAACAAGGAAACCAGGCTTTCTTTGATTTCACCCATTTTCCACTGATATCTTCTTTCTGCTCCTGGATCTCATCTAGGATTTCATGTTTCATTTCATGTTTCAGAGTTCTCACATCCCCAGGCTCCTCTGGCCAGATCTTACTGTCATATAAGAATCTGCTTGACTCCTCCCACCCAAGGGCATTGACATGAAATTTACACAAATTTAGAGTCAGTTCTAATCTATAAAGGTGGGTTTTCTCATCCCTCAGTATTGTGGGTTGCTGTGTATGCCCCCAAAAGATAGGTCCATGTCCCAAGTCTCAGAACCTGGGATCCAGGGCTCATTTGGAAATCGGGTCTTTGTAGACATGATCAAGTTAAGATGAAATCACAATGGATAAGGTGGCCCTGGTGCCATGGCTGGTGTCCACGTAGGAAGAGGAACACTGGGACACAGACGCACAGGGAGAGGCCACATGAGAGTGGTGGCAGAGATCAGGGTGTTGCAGCTTCAAACCGAGGGAGGCCCAGGATTATCAGGAAACTACCAGACCCTAGAAGAGGTCCAAAGGACCCTCTCCTGGAGCCTCAAGGGGCCACACGGTCCTGCCCACACCTGGACCTTTGCCTTCTGGCCTCCAGAACTGGGAGTGAATCAATCCTGTCATTCGAAGCCCTGTAACTTGTGGTCATTTGCTAAAGCCGCCCCCAGAAAACCACACACTGGGCCAGAGGCAGAGGATACTGAATGGCTGCAGTGCGTGGTGGTGGTGTTCAGTCACTCGTGTCCAACTCTTCACGACCCCTGGACTGCAGCACCCCAGGCTTCCGTGTCCTTCACCATCTCCCAGAGTTTGCTCAAACTCATGTCCATTGAGTCAGTGATGCCAGCCAACCATCTCGTCCTCTGTTTTCCCCTTCTCCTCCTGCCTTCAATCTTTCCCAGCACTCAGGTCTTTGCCAATGAATC